GCTGTTGCTCCGGGACAAAGCACCCGCTCACACGGCACTATCTGTCAAGCAGTTTCTGACCAGCAAAATTATTATTGTGATAGGGAATCCTCCTTATTCGCCTGATTTGGCTTCATGCGACTTTTTTTATTTCCTAAAGTTAAATTTTGCTTAAAGGGAACCCATTTCACCTCAGTTGAAGAGGTTCAGGCAAAAACGGAGAATCGTCCGAAAGGACTTCCAAAAACCTCGTTCCAGAATTGTTACCAGCAATAGCAGCGCCGAATGCATAAGTGTGTGAATGCTGAAGGGGATTACTTTGAATGTGATAATGTCACGGAGAACTGATTCTGCAGGTACAATGATTTATTGGACTAGTCTCGTTACTTTTGTGTCACACCTCGTATGTCAGTTTCATTAAAATCCGCGTGTGACACCTTGGTGATGTCCCTTGTAAGTCGGACTTAGAAATTTTACGAAAATTATTCGTTACAGATTTAGTAATTTTTACTGGTCAACCGTTTAGGACGGCTTTCCAAGTCAATCGTTCGGACTCATATTCAAATATTATTCTTAAGGTTAATTCCTTTTGAATAAACGTGCGCGAATCAGCACAGTGTCCGCCTATACAGGGTGACTCGTAACTCAGTGTTACTCCCTGAAAGGGGTAGGAGAGGATGTCATTCTGAACAAGATTTTCCTTTGCAAAAATGGGGTTTGAAGCTTCGTTTTTGAATTATTAATGAAAAACATGGGCCAATCACAGCACGAGGATTTCGCGCGAAGTGATAATTTCCGATTTTGATGAAACTTGGATATAATGTAATTCTCGAAAAAATATTCGACACGTATTTTTTTTTAGCTTGTATTTTTTTTTAGCTGCCGACATTCATGTTAAGGGGGTGAAAGTAGTCCCCAAAGTGGGGGGTGAAAATCACATTTTGTTGAATATCTCGGGAACCAGTAGAGCTAAAGGGATGGTTTAAATTGCAAAGTTGTGTGTTTTTTGTGTATTTTTTTTAAAAAAGTCGCATTTGTTTAAATAATATATTAAAAAATGACACTTTTTTGTTAATTTTTCTATTTAAAAGTTGTTGTATCTTCTCGTCATTTTTTATGTGAAAAGTATACTAGTAAGCATAAAATACGGATAAAATGGAATTTTCATTTTTACATTGTAAATATAGTTAATGAAGTTGTATTTTTATCGTACCTTTGCGGGACGCAGCTTCGAATGCATATAATCAAGTATGTAAAGAGCTTCTACGTCTTTACTGGTAACTGTATTACAGTCAACTTGACAAATTTTTTCAATTCGGATCAGAATTACCGTCCCAAGTATAAAAGTTAGCCGACGGTGACTGTTAAGATTTTTCCTCGCCGGCACAAAGCTTTTAGTGAGGAGGCTTCTGCACTAAAGTTTTTTAAAGTTTTTGGCAACTGAAACCAAGCTGTTTCACGTTTCGAATATATGGGAGCTCTGAAAAGAGCTAGTTTTAATATTAGTTTCTGCAATTTTTTAAAAGGCTAAAAATCATGAAAGTATTAGTTCATTCAATATATTGATTCCAATAATGATATTCCGCTAGAAAATGATTAAAACATAAATGCTCCTGACAGCACGAACATTTTATATTGGGTTGTCCGGAAAGTTCGTGCCGATTTTCGGTAGGTGGCATGAAAACAGATCTGAATATATTATATAATTATTGAAAATAAATGAAATGCTGGCCTATTCTAAAAGGCGGTACTTCAGGCATATTTGGGAAAAAGTTTGGTTAAGATACATTAATTTTTGTGAGTTTTATTCGTCTTAGATTATGGTGGCAAACAAGCTGCATTATAGGCATTTAATGCTTTTCTTTTTCCGGAAAGGTAAAAATGCCACACAAACGGCAAACGAGATATGCGAAGTTTATGGTGAAGGTGCTGTAGCCGAAAGAACTGTGCGGAAATGGTTTGCTCGGTTTAAGATTGGAGATTTTGAGCTTGAAGATCAAGAACGCTCGGGTAGGCCGTCCACCACGGACAAAAATGTGATAAAATCGATAATCGAGGATAACCCGCGCTTTACCTTACGTCAACTAGCAGACATGATGAACAAATCGAAATCAAGTATCCACGAGCATATTACGAAGCTCGGTTACATAAATCGGTATGATGTATGGGTTCCCCACGATCTGACGGAGAAGAATCTTACGGATCGCATTTCCATTTGCGATTCTCTGTACAAACGGAATGAGGAGACGCCATTTCTCACGCAATTAATAACGGGGGATGAAAAGTGGATAGTGTATCAAAATGTTGAACGCAAAAGGTCTTGGACAAAGCGTGATAACCCACCCTTAACCTCCCCAAAAGCCGGACTTCATCCGAAGAAGGTGATGCTCAGTGTCTGGTGGGATTGCAAAGGAATTTTGTATTATGAGCTTCTACCAAATAATGCAACAATCAATTCCGAGAGGTATTGCGATCAATTAGACAAATTAAAGACAGCAATTGAAGAAAAACGGCCCGCAATCGCAAATCGGCACGAACTTTCCGGACAACCCAATATTTTTGAAACCGAACTCAGCGTTTCAATCATTTTTCTACCTCGTCTTACAACAGGGTCCTGGATTAAAATTTGCGGCAAAGTTTTTCGGGTCTTACGAAATTACAAAAGTGTTAAGAAATGACAGGTACATAGTAATTGAAGGGCCCATAAACAGGTACATAATCATGAAGGGCTCCAGCAAACTTCGACGGGGGTCGAATTCATGAAACCGTAGGTTAGTGCGGATAGTGACACATGTAGCGTCAGTGAGGTGAGTGAAAATTATGACGATGAATGATATGATATCTGAGATCAGATATCCGATGCAGGATGGCCGAGTGTAGGGTAAGGTTTTAAGAATGACGTCGCCGATATTGGCAACGTGAATATGATAAGTGATACGGAAGTGAATTGATTGAATCATTCAATATCTTTTTCATCATTTGTCTTTCGCGATTTGATTACGAGGTAACGAAATATAATTTAAAAGAGTGGAGTTGATATTGAACTTTTGAGTTGTGCACATCGTGGAATTTGTTAATTTGTTAAAACATAGTTAATAATTATAAAGTTCATTATATTTCATATTTTTAAAGCGTAGAATTGTAGTTTTAATTATTTTAATCGTTCTTGTTAATTTTATTAATAAAATTCCTATACATACAGAGTGTCTCACAACTTGTGTAACTCCCGGAAAGGGGTGGTAGAGCATGTGATTCTGAATAAGATTTCCCTTTGCGAAAATGGGGTATGAAGCTTCGTTTTTGAATTATTAAGCAAAAACACGGATATATATCTAATATTTATTTATTTATTTATTTATTTATCAGTATTCATTCGAATAGAAATTACTATTAAAATTTCTCGCATAAAAATTTTTATTAATAAATAAAAGTAATCAATGTATTTGTGTTATTAAGCGTAAAAATTACTTACTCCTGTCACAATATTATTTTGTCTTGTTTATAAGTGTGTAACATCCCTGGAAGAGTTTTTTTTTACTTTTCATCACCAACATGACAGTTCTGTGCTCAATTCAATTACCCACCAATAGTTTAATTACCGACAATAATAAACTGTTACCGACGGTACATTATATATTAGTTATCCTGTGTATTTAGCTTTGACAGTCGGTAATCATTAGATATATATATATATATATATATCAATATTCTTAATTTTAATAATTGTTTTATGTTTCTAATTTAAAATGAGTAATATGTTTCATTAAATTAATCAAATGTTAAGTTAATTTATTTAAAACAAGTTAATGTATTTGAGGTGTTGATAATTGGTTGTGTGTGTGAGCGATTGAATTTTTATTATAGTATCACTGGCATGTAAATTTATATTGAAATTTTATGTTATGACCAAATCTGATAATTTTCATACGAAATTTTTCCAAGCGCGACAACTGGACACATATAACGATTGAATTAAACCTGTAGTATTTTTTGGGATTTTTAAGATCTCCAAATTTATTCCTCATGAGGCAATACTTTCAAGTTGACTGTAATACAGTTACCAGTAAAGACGTAGAAGCTCTTTACATACTTGATTATATGCATTCGAAGCTGCGTCCCGCAAAGGTACGATAAAAATACAACTTCGTTAAATATATTTACAATGTAAAAATGAAAATTCCATTTTATCCGTATTTTATACTTACTAGTATACTTTTCACATAAAAAATTACGAGAGGATACAACAACTTTTAAATAGTAAAATTAACAAAAAAGTGTCATTTTTTAATATATTATTTAAACAAATGCGATTTTTTAAAATCCATTTGCACAGTTGGATTTCGCATTAAAAAATACACAACTTTGCAATTTAAACCATCCCTCTAGCTCTACTGGTTCCCGAGATATTCCACAAAACGTGATTCTCGCCCCCCACTTTGAGGGCTATTTTCACCCCCTTAACATGAATGATGGCAGCTAAAAAAAATACGTGTCGAATATTTTTTCGAGTACTACATTATATCCAAGTTTCATAAAAATCGGAAATTATTACTTCGGGATGGTCCCTTGTTAGCGTAACGAGATTGAACCGGAAAAATTCAAACTTTCGGCAATCGAGTCGCACAAATTGATTTAGTTAATTAATAAGTTTAATGTCTAATAATGCTGTAAACAGAAATTGTATCGCTACCCTTCGCTAAGATTTGCACTGGTTCCAAGAATTTCGAGGCGTCGCACAGTGGGCCAGAACGACGAATTAGCTGTTCACGGCCAATTGTAGCGCTATTTGAAGACTTGAAACAAAAGTATAGCGGCCGCTGTGTCGTTCCAGCATTTAAAACAAGTATTATTATTGCATTTAATCACACCGGATTATTTTCTTGCCGAAAAAATTAAAAATAAAACAAAAATAAGCGTTATATTTCAAAAAGTTAGTGAATATACTATACTCTTAATGTGGACGTTCAGTTTATAAGCATAATTTTTATTAACGTAAACATAAGTTTAACATGGAAGCAATTTTTATGAATAAAAATAAAATCTATTTATTATTATTTATGTATCATCGTCATCGTCTTGTAGGTCTGCTTGTAACATTAATTTTTCTATTTCATCCTTGAAAATATTAAAACGCGAAAGTGTTTTATAAATTTTTATGTTTTCTGCCGAAATTGAAGATATTAAAATATTGGACGTAACCGAAATTGAAGATATTCAAATATTGGACGTATATAATAAAGTCTGAAAAAGGTCCGTCAATGCTTCTAATTGAGAAAATTTTCGTGTGTGGTCTTTCCTAATATTTCAGAAATCTTTGTTTCGTGCCTCCATTGCTTCTTCAGAAAACATTCCAATGGGCAAACCAGCACTTTGTATTATATCTGCACCATGCAATAATATTTTGTGCAAACTTAATGTTATATAAAACCAGTCGTACTTTGCTACATATAAGTTCAATGTTGCCATTGCATATTCTTGAAATAAAATCGAATGAATTAATTAATATACTTACAGAATATATAATAAATAAGTTAAATGTTGCCATTGCATATTCTTGAAATAAAATCGAATTAATTAATTAATATACTTACAGGATATATAATAAAATTGAGTAATGTCTATTCGACTAAATACTCAATATGTACCTATGTACGTGTTGCTGAAGCGTGTGTCACGCGACGCTTCAAACAATAATAACTTCTGCGGTGGGACGAGGGGGGACATGATTCCTTTTGGATTAAAATAAAGAAATCCTGCTGAAAATTTTGCACTATGATAGAGCACGCAACTCTTTGAACTTTTAAAGATATCCCTTGCTAAAGATGAACAACTATGAAAATAATCTTTAGTTCATTGAGAATTATTTTGTAAATAAACTACAGCTAATAATTTGTCATGGCATGTGTATTCTCAATATAAACATATGCTGTTTATTAAAGAAAAAAAAAATTTTGCAAAAATGTTTAATACTTTTATCAGGGCATCAATATGAAAAAGAGTAAATTTTTCGGTGAAAAATAGCATTCATAAAAGTCTGATCTTTGAATGCTTGTTATGACTACAACTTTTAATGAATTTCATTAATTTCATCAGTTTTGAATTCGACAGGTATTTAATAAGCAATATATGTTCGTTTCATATCGATCTAGGAAAATCGAATTTTTGATAAATGAACAGCTAATTCGCCGTTCTGGCGCACTGTGCGTCGTCGTAGTACGTAGCGTCATAGAAATTTCCATGGAGAACACATACGTTTATTCCAATGAAATAAAATAATACATAAATCTTGTTTTAAATAGACTAACTTCATAATTGTTTGATTCTGGAGAATATATAACTTAATTTTAACTCAAAATTTCATAATAAAATAATAATTGTAAATTAAGAATCATACTTCATACTCTTCTATAATATAAAATCGTAACGTAACGCGTAACGCTGTCACGGTTATATTGTATTCTACCATTCTATCATTCTCTATCATACTCTCTATAGTACAAAATCATAACGTAACGGTGTCACGCGAAACGCTGTTCACGGTTAAGTTAGGTTAGGTTAGGTTAGGTTCGGAGAGAGAAGATCCTCGGTGACCCTTCGGGAAAAACCCTGTTTATGACGGAGTAGTT